AACATTGGTTTTGTATTAAAACCATTAACTTATAGCTACTTATCTAGTCTACTTAGTCTACCAGTCAGAGACATAAAATTAAACGTATTAAGTAACGCATTACTGCTTATAGTCTACTTATTAACCTGGTTAGTTACTTTATAAACTAGTTAAACTAATGATTCGACATTCTGCCTGGTTTAAAATTCACACGCCTTCTGATAGCTTCTGATCTGTCGGCTTCTGGCACGCGTAAATCTGCGAACGATCGGCTTTCGACTAGCTACTACTGCAAATGGCAGAGAGTGAAGAGGAAATAGAAGAGGGTTTTGAAGCAACGAAAGGAATTAAACGCAAATACGGTAAGTTATAAGATCGTCTTGCTTAGAGCTTAAAGTGCATTACGCTACTATTAGCTACTATTACCGTCGCAGCTCGTCGATCGGACTATTAGCTTCTATTTGTAGCTTTTAACAACGTCGTCGAACGATGCGTTTTGTTCGATTCCTGTATCGCAGAGCTTGCTATTTTTGTCAGCCATATTAGTAAAGCTTAGTTAGCTTTAGTTCATGTTGTACTTCGGACTATATCTGGCAACAATACGTACGCTCGACAGAAATCCATTAACGACTCTTTAAGAGATGCGTCAGGAAATCCTAGGATCTATACCAATAACTGAAGCAACTAATGAAGAGGAAAATGAGGTTGACATCAACGACACTTCTGTCAACTTTGATGGATCTGATGTCGGAGACAAAGAAGCTAACATGGTCCTGGTTAACAATTCTGTCATTCTAATTTCTCAAGATGACCGAGTGTCAGGTTCATTTTTACTTGGAAGCCTGGCACAAGACTGGCGCAGAAATACTATGGAGACGGTGAGAACACATGTCTATGCTCCTGATGAAGAAGATTTTTTGCTTTTTCATTACGAGTTTACTGGGCTTGTGAGAAAGGCAAACGTTGTTCAAGAGGTCGGCACCGAAAACGATAAGTTGATGTATTTGGATGATGATTTCCACATGGAAATAAGCGATGATTTATATCATCAGTGTCTGGATCTGGTGTACGACAAAGATGAAGCAGGCACAAAGGCTACTGCCACTGATACAGCAAGAGAAACATCTACAGGCCGAGTACTTCGACTCCCTCACCGTTTCCGGGAGTGATACTACTCTCTACACTCCAGAAATGCTTACCGTAAACACCGGTGTATAAGCGGCACTCGTAGATAAGCCGCACCCCGAGTTTGAAGCTCAAATTTTCGGAAAAAAAGTTTTTTGAAATAAAAACGTAAGTCAGAGAATTGGCTGTTAGAAACTCAATGCTCACGTTCGTGCGTTACGTGTTCGATGCGGATCTTATTGCTCAATTTGATTTTTGGTCTCGGAGGCGCTCTGGCAGCTCTGTAAGACAAACAAGACTAACTTTTCCACATCATCTTAAGTTACAGAAGTTTTGTTCCACGTTATACACCTCAAATGAATAAAGGCTCAAAAAGTCTGGTCTCATCACTGGAAAGTACGATCTATAAACTATGATTTGCAGAACTCAGCAGATGTTCCCGTAGATAGTCCACACCCCCGATTTTGAGCAAAAATTTTCGGCAAAAAAGTGCGGCTTATACACCGGTGTTTACGGTACTATCGCAATAATACAAGGATACACTTTCATTGGTGGGTTGAGCGCTTCCAGCTTTCAAAATCCGAGACTCTGAGATCCAAATTTTCAAAATCCGAGACTCCGAGACCGTCATATTTCTGGGAAATCCGAGATTCCGAGACGCTTTTTTTAAGCGCCGAGATTACGAGACTCGGCTTAAATTTGCCGAGACTCAACATTTTTGAAAGGCCATTCGTCACCCCTCAAACTAAAAGCACAAGAACTTTCTTCTCTCGTTCCGTTGCAGTGAAGCTAAGTTCACAAGATTAAGATCATCGACATACTTGTAATTAACCCGGAGAATACCCGGAGATTGCTGGCAAGGTTTGCTAAGCTAATGCAAACTGAAAAGTTTAGTTTTCTCTTCGATCAATCACAGTCTGAAACGTAATGAAATAGTAAGCGAATTCTCTGTTGAATTCACGCTCTTCACTGATTGTAGCTATCAGCACGAACATTCAAATCAATGGCATGACTACATGAGTGCTCAAAGATGTACGTTTTACGTAATTTATCAAACTTAAAGTAAGAAGCAAACCTGCAGCCGCGTTGCAAGGATTCGGGTAGAAACAGCGACTTTAAAAAGCTCCAAGATTAGAGACTATTGCATTATTGAACTTATCGATGTCGTGTGGCCAATGACGTCAGCTATCTGGTGTCCAATCACATTTCTGTAACAGCAAAAGTCTGTAGGAAACCGAAAAAAGCACTTACCCGTACCGTGAAGTCAGACTGAATTTATATAACCTGACATCAGGCTTATCATTTTTTTTTTTTGGCTTAAAACAGATTACAGAGGTAAAGGGAGAAGGCATGGTCGCAGGCTAGAATTTATACGTCAATTGGAGCTTAGTCGCGACATTATGGTACATACATACATACATACATATAATTTTATTTAAACTCGAATTTAGCTAGTATCTCCGAGTTTAATAATATTTAAGAAATGCAACAAAATTGATAAAGCATGAAAGTATAAAATTGCTATGCATGTGCATATTATTAGTCTAGTCTTTGAAAAAAAAGAAGAAAAATCAGTATATACTAGTAATAGATGACACTACAGCTGCCCCAGCTCTGTATATTGTCGGTCAATAGCATTCTGGCTCGTTGTGTAGCTCTTTGAAATATACCGATTCACGAGGAAGATTTTCACACATATTCCATACAATAGGTGAGATAAATACAGGAAACGCAAAGTTCCATGCACAGTTTCAGGTCGATTTACACAGCTTTGATAAAAACATTCTCAGTTTGGAGAATAGTTTATTCTGAGCCATAAGAAAAGATTTTTTATAGAAGTTGAATTTTTCGCTATTTCTCTTTCACTTTTTACATTCAGTTCATTTTATTTGCCGGAAAGGAAGCCTTAGAAATTAAAAGGACGTTTGATCAATTCACACTCGCGCATTCTAGTCTTATTTTAAACTTTATAGCGGAAGGACATCTGTGAGCAGGGAATAAGTCAGCACAGAATTTGATTGTCGGTGAGTTTCTGTAATCGTCCGTCGTTCTGCTAGTGAGAAGCTAGCCGTTGTTCACTCGTCTTGCTTGTTTGGGGCTGAGCCTTATTCCGGTCAAAGATTAAGAGAGAGGAGGAGTGTCTGGCAAGGTTTCCAATGAAAGATTTGTGAACTCGTGTCTGGCAAACTCTCCAAGTGTTTATATATACACAGTTATACGCACCTTATAACTTCTTCCGCGCTTATCGAGTGTCGTTAAAATTTTGGTCCATAACTTTCACTGAAACAACTGCTCCACAGAATGCTCACTGATAACACGTAACGCAAAAGAGTGTCCAAGTATGACTGCACAATAAATGTCACAAAATCTACCTAAGCGGTCCCTTGGGGATGTTCTGTCTTTACGTCATCCTAACCATTTCGTACTTGCGGGCGCAAACAATAGAAACGTCATCATTACCTACCGATTCCTCGCGGCCCCTGTTCAAGCAAATCGAGATTTTTTCTATATTGACTGTATGACTGTATATTTCAACTGTAAGTACTTTCCTTAATATACGCGCGAGTTACTAGAGTGCCTCCTCGGGATTTCGCCTTCTGGGCGAAATCCCTGCGGGGGCAATTATATATCTAGACAGTAATATTATGAATAGCGCGCTTAAAAGCAATGAGAGATTCAGAAGGTCTCATGTTATCAGGCAGCGTATTCCATACTTGAGGAGCAGCACATCTGAATGATTGTAATCCATAGGAGGTTGAAGTAACTCTTGGTAGATCCAATTTTAGGGTACCACTGAGGTTATAACATTAATGATCCAACACCATTACATACACTTGATGGCACTTATCTGGAATGGAAGGATGACTTCAAATATTTAGGGTCATGGGTTGATAACTCAGAAAAAGACATCAGCATAAGGAAAGCACAGGCTTGGAGAGCTTTGAATGGTATGACGAAAATGTGGAAGTCCCATATGCGTAAAGATCGGCTAGATTTGAAAATCAGATTCTTCATAGCCACCATCGAATCAATCTTACTTTATGGGTGCTAGAGCTGGGCTCTGTCAAAAGCACAAGAAAAGTCGTTGGATGGAACATACACTAGGATGCTGCGAAAAGCTTTAAACATCCACTGGAGCAGCCACATACCAAACCAACAACTGTACGGAGATCTACCAGCAGTCAGCAACAAAATCGCCTCTCGTAGACTACATCTTGCGGGACACTGTTATCGCCATCCGGAGCTAAGTACCCAGAAATTAGTCCTATGGGAGCCCACACATGGTCATCGCGGGAGAGGAAGACCGATTACTACCTATATTGACACTCTTAAGAGGGATACTGGGGCATTCGAAGCAAGTGAGATTGCTGTACTGATGGCTGATAAGAGGCTGTGGAAAGATCTAGTGGTTGCCCGCCTTCGAGCGACCAAGTGAGTGAGTGAGTGACTGAGGTTATACACTGTTGTTAGGCAACTACGGATACTAAACCGATAGAAAGAAATCAAACGGGGGACGCGTTCCTTTGGGATGATCCGGATCAGGATCAGGATCAGGATCAGTGATCCGAGGTCACTCGGATCTGATGGTACATAAATTGAGCCTATGAATCCTTGTCCAGAGTGGATTCATCGGTTCATTTGATCACTGATCCTGATCCGAATCATCTCAAAGGAACGCACCCAAAATCGCACTACGCTTGCGCTCCTCCTCGCGCGACAAAATTATAAACTAGCTTCGCGGGAAGAATTACGTTGATTTTTTTAGAACTCACCATGCATGTTGCGTGAAAAAAGCGTCATTTCCATAAGAAAGTACTTGAGTTAGGGAAGTGGTTTAAACGGGTGAGCTCGACGTGGTTCCACCTTGACCAGGGCTGGTGAGGTTATACCAGACACCACCCGCCTTATGACTGCTCGGAGACAGAATTTTTAGACGGAAAATTTGAGATATCAGTTAAATCTTTTGTGTGCATAAGACTTGCACTGTCAGACAAAATGCTCAAGGACTTTCTCATTAACTTGTCTTTCACATTTTGTGATATTCAAACAAGATACCATCTTTCTATAATGTTGCAGGTAAGAGTGGGCACTAGTTTTTCCGTAGAGGGGTGGGTGGGTCCCGGCGTCTGTGTACAATAGTTTTGACCATTTGGGAAACGCTGTAGGAGAATCATCGGACGTCATTAAAAATCTCCGGCCAAGTTTTTGTTGTGTACATGTTAAATTAACTTCCCTCCATACCTGAGGACAATCAAACAAATTCTCTTGTTTTAAAGTTAACTTTTTACTATAAAGGAGACGCTCCTGTTAAAAAATCGATTAAAAAAGACTTTAAAAATATTAACGGGTTACCTCTTGCTTTTGCGCCAAAACATTGAACATTATTTCCCGAATTGTGTCTTAAATTGAAGCATCCGACTTTTACTTTTAAATGTAACCAATCATTCAAACATATGAAAAATAATTTTCGACGTGAAGGTATCCGTTTACCTTAACTAACAATAAATTCGACAGAACAATAAAATATTTTCCAAATGAATGAACCCATTGCTATTGTTACGATTACACAGTTGCTTTTATAAATCACGGCAGGCTTTTCCGGAAACAGGGAATTGGCTTATTTGAAGGCAGGGATTCGAAATTTTAGAGGAAAAGAGAACGCGGTATTTGCCGATCTGGCGATGCAGGAATCGGGGAATGTTGTCTCCAGAGAAACGAGTTCCGTCACGCGGATATCGTAACTTAGTAAAATCCAACTAGTGATCTATTATCAATGCTGCGTTCTGATTGGTTGAGCTACTACTAGGCTATGTTATAGCCCACTAGTAGAGGAAAGCGCGGGCTTTTTGGCGGCAAAAAAGAGTTAAAGTCTAGCTTTAACCAGCTAAAAGTTTTTTATTCTCGATTTTTGGACCAACTAGTTGGATCTTACTAAAAAAATTATTCCTCTCGCACTTATGGCCTCTAAGTCAATAGCCCATTCGGGCTCGAGGAATAATTGTTAACTAGCCCGCGTAACTAGCGGTTTTATTGGAGATTGGGGAAATGGAAAGGATCAAGAGTGAGCGGTAAAGCAGCGAGAGGAATGAGGAGGTTTTGCTCGCGCTTGCGCAGATTTGTCGCTTACTTTCGAGCTCGCTGACAAAACCTCCAGCTAGCAAGGTAATCTAGCCGGTATTGCAGCCGGCTCACGCATCGTCTAAACCATTGGTATACAGTCAGACGGTTTAGAGTCAATCTGCGACGCAGGCTAAGGCTAATCCTAATAATAAATCCTTTATATTTGGCTAATGAGTTGACAGTGATGAAGAAATATGTACCATTTATAAGCAACTTATTGAAAGAAGAAAAAACCCGTATGTTTTCGGAAATGGAATTGGCGATAAAATACGTCGGAATTGCGGCATTGAGCGAGACACAGTCTAGACTAGACCGCGAGCAGTCGTCAGGCTTCTTTCCTTCGAGCCACGCGCGGCGACGAAAAGGAAAAATTATGCAAATTTTAAAATGGCAAAAAAGGAAGAGAGATTGGGGCGGGAGAGGAAAAAGGACGACCGCGGAGGTTTTATAGTACCTTGAATTACCGTTTCAGGGAAACGGAATTCCGATTGGTCGCCTACTTGTCAATCTGTCAACAACCAAAACAGCTAAGTCCCAAAGGAGTGCAGTTTTCACAGCGGCTTTTTGCAGCACATGGCGAACGGACAAGGTCCGTGAACTGCACTCCAGTTTCCAAATGGTCTTCAAGGAAGCCAATTGCTTTTGTGGAACCTTGACTATATTCTCGGTCAAAATATGTCCTCTTTTCGCACCATAGTTTTTTTAGTACGTGCGAGGATGAAAGGACAATTTCAATTAGTTTGCCCGGTCTATAATATTGCGAGGCTTCTTCGCCCTTTTTACTTTCTTTCTCGCTTTCTTTGAGAAACCCCCCCTTTTGTTGGGGGGTTTTTCAGGATTTATTACGCCACCATTATTGCAATATCTCACAGATAACTGGAGAACTATGTCCCGAACGAGACAGCAGTGAACAGACAATCGAAGACAAGCTGTTTGTTTACAGGGAAAAGCACGCGAAATAAAGGGAGGAGCTGTTAATAACAGCAAATAAGGAGGCGTAAAAAACAGCAAATCGCCAGATCAAAGATCCTATCGCAGTCTTATTTTTTCTTCGCTTGGGCTCCGCCCTCGTCTCTCGCGGCTTCGCTGCTCGCCGCTCGCCCCCTCGCGCCCGTCCTCGCTTCTCGTACATACGTTCTACCGTGTCTCAAAAGAAAGAATAAGACACCACTGACAGTCTAAGTCTAGACGGGATTGAGGAACCCTATGTGGGGGCCTGCTCAGTCACAGACGCAAACTAAGGCGTAAAGAGTAGGTTAGTGCTCTTGGAAAACCAACAGTATATTAACATTGAACGGTAATGAAAATAAAAAATTATTTGAAAAAGGAAAGAAGAAGTAGCCAGAAGACTGCACTATGTTAGTTCGGAGAGTTTGACTATGCTTTTTCATAGTGTGGACAAAAAAAAATCAAAATCAACAGATAATCACAGTTAGAGAAAATAAATGAGACATAAAAGTACATGACAAGAATCCTAATCTGTATTTCAATATCAATAGACAGAGCTTTTACTGACTTGTGATATCAGTCATTACTCAAGACACTCTACAAAGGCCTGATCGAACATGTTCCTTTAAAAAACACCTGTTTCTTTATTTGAAGCACAGCAGAAGTCCTCGAAGAAAAAATAATTAGAACCGTAGCCCACCAACACAAAAATTCTTGTCGAGGCAATTTAAGAACAAGATACATGAACTGAAGTAACTTCCAGCCGCTTCCACTTTTAACTTTCATACTTCGGGCACGTCAATATTACAACCTTAATCTCTGACTTACTAGTAAAAATTAAATTAATGCTCCTTTTATAAGCGTACATTCACTTTTTTGTTTATCTTACAGGCCTCATTAAAAAAAGCTGCACCAGCGACACCCACACTGTTATCAGTCAAATCCAATGTGTCCAGGGAGGAGTTTGCTGTGAGGGCCTTGGAAAGACAAGAAGCACCAGTGTCGCCGATACTATTACCACTTAAATCCAAATCAGTCAAGGAGGAGTTTTCTTTTAGAGCCTTAGAAAGAGAGGAAGCACTGGCGTCGCCAATTCTGTTGTAACTCAAATTCAAATCAGTCAGGGAGAAGTTTGCTTTGAGGGCCTTGGAAAGACAAGAAGCACCGCAATCGCCAATACTGTTGCAACTTAAATTCAAATCAGCCAGGGAGAAGTTTGCTTTGAGGGCGTTGGAAAGACAAGAAGCACCAGTGTTGCAAATATAGTTATCCGTCAAATTCAAACCAGTCAGGGAGGAGTTTTCTTTCAGAGCTTTAGAAAGAGAAGAAGCACCGGCGTCGCCAATTTTGTTGCAACTTAAATTCAAATCAGTCAGGGAGAAGTTTGCTTTGAGGGCCTTGGAAAGACAAGAGGCACCAGTGTCGCCAATAAAGTTATCCGTCAAACCTAAAACAACCAGGGAGGAGTTTTCTTTTAGAGCTTTAGAAAGAGAAGAAGCACCGGCGTTGCCAATTCTGTTGCAACTCAAATTCAAATCAGTCATGGAGAAGTTTGCTTTGAGGGCCTTGGAAAGAGAAGAAGCACCGGCGTCGCCAATACTGTTTATACTCAAATTCAAATCAGTCAGGGAGGAGTTTGCTTTGAGGGCCTGGGAAAGAAACGAAGCACCGGCGTCGCCAATTCTGTTATGACTCAAATTCAAATCAGTGAGGGAGGAGTTTGCTTTGAGGGCCTTGGAAAGAGAAGAAGCGCCATCCTCACCAACAGAATTACCCTTCAAATTCAAAGAAGTCAAGGAGAAGTTTGCTTTGAGGGCCTTGGAAAGAGAAGGAACAACACCGTCAAAGAGGTTGAAACTCAAATCCAAATGAGTTAGGGAGGAGTTTTTTTCGAGGACCACGGAAATCACAGCAGCACCAAAATTCTGTATTTCAGCGGAGGATAAATCCACTTCAGTGAGGGAGGAGATGTCAAGGTGCGTACCGAAAGTATATTCAAAGCAAGTTAGCTCTCTCTCATCTTTCCACTTCAATTTTACAAGGGGGCTGTAATCGCATTCAAAAACACACGCACAAGCCAACGCCATATACGATTTAACTTTTTGGTCGGATCTACGAAGAAGACCACTGATATGCTTGGCCATACAAATAAGGATGGATTCTCCAATTTCCTCGCTTTTGAATGCTATGATTCCACTCATGAACAAAAAAACCTCTTTCAGTTCCTTCAAATATCTTTCATCGGTTAAAACGTGGGCAAAGTCAATTTGTCCGTCGATAACCTGAAACGCCAGATAAAAACCAGCAAAAAACTCCTGAAAGCTTTTGTGTGAAAATGCACAGCGTGTGCAAGGTTTGCTCCTAGTGCCGCCTTGTTGAAAAGACAAGAATCCAAAATTGTCCATATCCTTCTCTTTTTCAAAGTACCACTTCCTCTCATGAAGGGAATGTAACGAGAACCGGCCCAAAAGTTTGAGTTTTTCCCTATAAACTGAAATCAAGTCTTGATCGTTGTTGCTTTCAAGTCCATTTTTTTCTTCATATCTTCTTAAAACAAGGAGAACGATTTCAATGTACAATCGGGTTCTGCTGCTGTTAGAAAAAACTTCTTCGGAATCTTCGAAAATACAACAGAGTAAAGTCAAATTAAGTGGATTTTTCGCCAAATCGGCTAGGGCGCGGTCGTTAGGATCAGGTGGGTCAGCATACCAATATTCAACATAATATTTAATAAACTTCTCAGCTAAGTGATCGTTGCCCTGAAAATATTTTCCGATAAATCTTTTCGAATCCTCCTCGGTGAATCCTACAATCTCCCACAGGTTGTCACAGTATCGGCTTACTTTCTTTCCAACCTCATGACGCGAAGTAATGACGACGTGACAGTCTGGGAGGAGTTTACATGTGAGCAGTGAGAGGTAGATGTCTCGTTCACAGGGGTCTGCCTCATCTAATCCATCCAGCAATAGCAGAACTTTGGACTGATTTTCCTTTATGTATTTGATGAAAGTCTCCTTGGCCTTTTCGTCGATATCTTCAGGAAGAATTTGATCATCAATAGCTTCCCAAATGCTAGATTTTATGTCGTTGCATCTAAGCAAGAGCAGCACTTCAATCTCTGGAAAAGACGCGTCCCATTCATTTTGTTTGTTTGCCCAGTCATACGCCAGTTTTTGTGAGTAGGTAGTTTTTCCCATGCCAGGATCCCCTTCAATCAATACTTTACGTGGTTTCTGGCACTTCGGGTGGGGTCTAAAGATAGCGGTCATGTTGGTGATTTCGTCGTCTGTCAATGTTCCTCGTGTTTTTTCTCTGTTCACAATCTTCAATCGGGTAAAAATATCATTCATATTAAAATTAGGATAATCACACCAAGTGAATGGTGCCAGATTTCCTTCACGGCTTTGGTAAAGCTGGCGAATCTCGTCTATGATATGAGAGGGTGCCCCTACGAAGACAAAATACTACAAATTAGATCCGGGGAATTGCTTTTATTACATAGATTCACGACCTCATTATCTTTTGATAGATCGACTACAGTATAATTCAGTTTCCAAGTATGGACTCGTTGAAGCCATCTCTATCAGGTGGCACACTTACCTCCTAGCTATTTTGTTTTTCTTTATTGCATATTGAAAAGAATGTGAAGCACAAAGAGTGCAAAAAAAAAAAAAACAAAACAAAACAAAACAAACAAACAAAACCAAACAGAAAACAGCGGAACTAGTCCAGGGCGGATATACATCTCTGATTTAAAGGTGGACTTTAATTGAAGTATACAGTGAACCATAAACTGGCCGGCCATAGATATTTAGTCCCGTTCACAATTCAATACATTGTAACTTAACCAAGAGATACCTGCAAGAGGCTGCTGGGTAATGGATTCAGTTTGCTGAGATGTACTAACAGTATACATTCTCCTTTTGGCTTGTGTTGAGCACTGATCATCGGAGAAAGCACCTGCTGAAGAAAACATAATTCTGAGTCTAGGAACACTTGAACATAGACACAACGTTGTATTTGGGGCCGCTGGGTGGGGCGGATTTACGACCTTATTTCCGCCTCCTGATAGACTGTAATTGAGTGCAATTGATTCAAAAGTGTAGACTGAGGTAAAGCTAATTCTATGAGGCGACTCATTTGCGTCACTATGTGCGTGACTCCTGATTTGTGTTTTCTCACTATGTTTTAAAATGAAAGTGCAGCGAAGTATACAGAAACAATGAAACACGTAATGGGTAGGCAATATAAAGAAGAGAATTTTTAGCAACAAATGTTTCTAACATATATTACCTGCATAGTTCTCAGTTAGCCTCCGCTTCCTGCTGCTTTCGAGCTGAGCCTCCAAGGAAGCATCAACTGAAACGATTCACACAAAGACAACATTAGTGTTTTGTGCTGGTAGGGGAAATGCATGGTCTCGATTTCTGAACAGAAACGTGTACGTTTGTCGACCAAGTTTATTCAACTCTTAAATAGCCTAAATTGCAGCCGTCGACTCGAGTTGCAAACTCCCCGGCGAGAAAGACGTCTAAATCAACGAGCCACTAATCCCGCCCAGTGACGTCACTACCCGAAAACCTGCAGATAGTCATTTTGATCGGTTGACTGTCTAAACATTTACAAAGTTATGTATAACTACAGGAAATTTTAGCGGGACTAATTGGATAATCTTGATAATCAGCAGATCGCATGCTTGCGTAGAGTTCCCTAAATTTCGACGATCTTTATCTTTACCCTATTTTCGAAGCCATGACTTGTTAAGTTGAACTACCAATGAAGAATCAATGAGGGAAAGTCGATAGGATTTCATTCAGAGCCGCTTTGCGGTTTCAGCATTGATTGCACAAGTGATCGATTTTTGTGAGATTTATAACAAGCCTGTGTCAAGCTAGCAAATTTTTGATCCTAATGTTATTTCCCCTGGCAAGTGTACTGATTGTGTTAGTTTTTCTTTCTTTCTTTCCTAGCAAGCTTGCTTGCTTTCTTCTCGCTTAAAGGACCAAATAGCTTCTGTTATTTTATAGCAAATTGAAGGAAGTGTCTGTATTTCATTGTTGCGTAGCTGAGATCGAGTCTGACTATTCAATTATGGCGCTATACAAGCAAAAGTTTCATTCAGAATACAGCGTGCAGTCAACAGTTTGAACGTTTAACATGATTTAAGGCTTTCTTCCAGTAAAACAATTTTAAATGAAAGCAAATTGAAGGAAGTGTTCCATGTGTATTTCATTATTGCGTGGCTGAGATCGAGTCTGATTATTCAATTATGGCGCTATACAAGCAAAAGATTCGTTCAGAATACAGAGCGCAGTCAACAGTTTGAACATGTAACATGATTTAAGACTTTTTTCCAGTAAAACAGTTCTGTACCATGTACACCTTTCCGGACAATATTTCTGTTTTTGCCGCAGAGAAGTAGTGACATCACTGGACGGTATTAGCGGCTCGTTGATTCAGGCCGTCTTTCTCGGGCGACCAAAGGCCGGTTCACAGGCTAGGGCGATTGCGACTCGAGGGAGGTTTATTCTTAAAACGTTAAACTCGTAGTTTAATGAGGTCTATCTTGTTTCATGACTAATGTGAGCAACGCATTTAATTAGAAGTACATTCAACTAAACGCAAATTCTCTTCTACTCCTGCATTAAGTTATAACTAGCTAAACTTACAAACAATCGATACCTTGGCAATGAGGCCAAGTGCGAAAAACACCAGGATCACGTAGTATGTGTGAGACAAGAGATGCTGCCATCGCACTAGCACAGGTTTCCCAACTTCCTGCATTCACTTGCTTACCATCTGCAAAATCAGCTATCCCTTTAACAATGAGCCACTCGAGTTGAGTTTCATATGCAGCTGTGGAAACACCTGAAAAAATGAACACATTTAGGATGTATTACTTTCTGTAAATTACCTCTTATCGATAAAAGAAACTAAAAAAAATCAATTGCCCGGCGCATAGACTCACTTGCAATTCTTTATTTTGTAGTTCGGATCTAATAATATTTTTGACGATTAAACTTGAATGAAAATTTCTTTTTTATAGCAGACTGGAAGTAGACAAACCGGAGACAAGAAAAGACTGAATAAAAAGATTTCTACAACCCAGGACAGAAAGTAAGATAGGTTATGATTTTCATGACGTTTCGTTTTACGTTTTTGACAGCAACTTTTTTCCGTGGATATTTTTCGTTCGCTTTCTTTATTACTGCTTTTTTTTTGTTTTTATGTTTCCATACTGCCACCAATTCCCACAGGGTTGCTCCTAGTCCACCACTCGATATGTATAAACCAGAAAACAGTTAATACCTCGATTTGCTCTGACAAAGGGCTGGCGTTCGAAACGTCAAACTTACAATCTCTAACCCCCCAACATCTACACGTTGTATTTATGAGCCCTCCCACGGGGAAAAAACCCATGGGGACCGCAGAAGTCCCTTTCAGTTAAGCACAGGAAAAAAGTACAGGAATGTGCCGACCCCCGCATTTCTAAGAGGCTGACATCGTGCACACTATACCCAAGACCGAACCAGTGGAGACTCCTTACAGTCGAAATTGTTTCTATAAATTCAATTGAAAAAAAGAATGCGTTTCACCCTCCTACCGACGTTGCACCGCAGTCTTTTCAGAAAATAACCACTTTTTAATGCAGCTGACTAAATTCCTTTTTTTCGGTGAAGCCAAATTTGCGGCCGTAAAGGTGTGCGTTGCGATTGAAAGCTGTCTATGTCGACGGAGCTATTCATGCGATACTAGACCAGACCAGACACCAGAGACAAAGCGTGTAAAGAAAACCGATTGTTTCAAAAATGTTTTGGCGTGGACAGGGCTTTAGACTTGAGAAAGTTAAGTACAAGAACAAGTATATATAGTCGATGAAGGACAAGTTAAATCAGTTATTGCTCAGTCTGTGTACTAAACAACTGACCAATTTTCACGTTATGTTCCAATATAACCGCCAACTAATACCTAAAGTAACTGCCATGGAGAAATTCACTACAATTATAATATTTCTTCTCTCTTTAAAATTCTAGGTTGACAGCTAGGTCAATGAACGAAGCCAAAAGGCACACGTGACAAGAACGCGAACCAATTAAAATGTATCAAACTAAGCCATGAAGGTACGCATTTTCGACGTGTTATACCATTCTATGGCATTGACAACGGCGAATATATGGTTGAATTATAGCCACCCACATGACCTTGCGGTCTTGTGCATGGCGTAAGCTTGCTGAGGCGCTTTTAAAAGTGACATGTACTCACCTTCTCCCTCCATCTCTACACCTGTTGCGAGGGGATGACGTTCTAGAAGTTCTTTTCGCCTCCATTCTGCTCTGATCTGCTCTGGACCACTTAAGAACACGCCATTGTTATGAACGTTGATGTGGTGATCTTCTCGGTTCTTCAACGGTGGTTGCCACCCATCAGCGCAATTGGTGATGATGTTATGAAACCGTCTGCTCACGTGACTGCAAATACCAGCCCACTGCGCTTGGTCGCTTGTCACTACTTTGGATGCATATGTTGTTAGCTTGGCTGATACAATGACATCTCCTAACTTGGTTTTGTCAGGGTTGAGACCACTGCATGCCCCAACAGATATCACGGCCTTGGGTCGTAGAATAGGGGCGGCATTCCTAACGGCAGTGAGAGAGCCACCCGGACAGTTAGAACCTTCATGACACCTCATTAGTGCTACTTTCACTCGCCCTGGCTGACTTCCGCCAACGTCCGCGAAGTAAACGTAACCAAGACCATCAAAATGACATCCAAAGGGATCTTTAAGCTCATTGTAACAAGCTAAGAACTCGCAGTCCTTAACTGTTACTAAAAGAATATCAACGGGTAGATCTGGCTGTTTCAATGTTGTTGTAACATCTCTTATGGATAGAAGACCAACAGCCAGCTGAGGTGGGCCAGCATTGCTGTTATTTGAATCGTAGTTCGTCGCAGCTTCTGACATGTTCGTTTTTCTCATCTACATCGCACTGGAGACACAAAAAGGTAAAATAGTTTGAGATCTTATGTAGCGCCTTTATCAACCAAACAACTACCGAAATGACGCAAGGTACTATTAAAGAATACAAGGTATTCAGGTGAATGATTTTACTTGAACCGTGAAATAGGTGGTAGAATTTTTGTTTACATTTCGCTCTTTTGCACCATTTGTTAGCATCTGTTTCACGGTTCAAGTAAAATCACTCTAGGTCTGCACAAAATATTTTTCCCCTAGGGAAAATTCTTTACCTACAATTATCAATCTCTGAATTAATTTCCTTTATACATTTATAAATTATAATAATAAAAAACTTCATTTGAGTCGAGCTGAGTTGGTATGCATTTAGCCCGAAAGTACTTATTGTAAACACTATTTTTACGTTTCCTACTGGAAACTTGAGGTGGTCATCCAAGTGAATCGAAGGACCAGCCGTTTGCAGGGAAAAGGCAGTACTCAGATGTCACGTGAGGCTTGAAATATATCACGCGATCAAGAAATTTACTTAAAATACACTTACAACTACATTAAATGTATTATAATGACTTGTAGCTTTTGTCTGTCGGTAAGTAAACCATCACGTTTCAGGTTTGAACGCGTTCCGAAGGTATGAGTCAACAATAGTGTATTGACAATTCACGGTCTAGCAGCCTCTGAAGCAGACGGGAAGATCTTGAAATATAAAAATCTCGCAATAAGTTACTTAAGTAGAAAGTAGAAAGTAATGTGAGAATTAGTCAATGCCAATTACAACACAAGTTGAATGTCAAACTAAAAGCACAAGAACCTAGTATTTCTCGCGTTAGGGTTCAGTGAAGTCAACGGATTTAAATAATTAACCCAGAAATAAATCGTATTTACTTTGCCAAGCTAACATGATGGTCTGAATGGGGTTGAACGACTAGCGACAAACGGCAAAAAATGTAACTGACTACTGACAAAACGAGAAAAAAAATTACTGACTACCGACAGGGAAAAAATTAGCCGACAACCGCCATGGTCCAACATTGTGGGTTAATTTCTATTAAAAAATAGATCGTATTTTGTTTATTAGTTTTTTTAATTTCCTATTTTGCCAAATGTATTTCGCTTGATTTGTTTCCAGCAGATGGAAGGTCTTGTAGTCAGCTCTATTTCAGACAGGGCCCCGGTTGTTCAAACTTTGGATAGCGTTATCCACCGGATGAATCACTATCCAGCGGATAAGTATTGGGGAAACCGAATTGCACTATCCACTGGAAGGTGATTAAACCGGTACGGTGGATAGCGCTATCTAGCTTTTGAACAAATCAGGGGCACCCAAAGCCAATTTTCGGAAAATATCTGTTTGGAAGACGATTTGAGATCTAGAATTTTCGGAACATTTGTTGTACAATTTCTTGCTTGCCTGCCTCTCCTAGGATTTTCGAACACCTAAAAAATGGTATAATTGCCAATTTTTAACGGATGTTTACCCTAAAAAGGTCACCTAGAATTTTCGGGAGCCTTTTTTCTGGCTGAAATTTTCGAAAAGGTAACTTTTGATCCCTACAATTTTCGGATTACTAGACTTTCAGCTAGGAAATCCGAACAGATGAAAAAGTTGTAGGGGATAAAAATATGCCTGTATCTACCGTTTAAATACTAAAATACGTTTAACAATGCTATGTTTAAGTGGTTTTGAACTATATTCTCTTTGGGTGCCCCTGACAAATGGGGCCTGAGGTATGTAAATCACTTAAAATTCCAAATACCTGCAGAGATATTAATAAAAATATGAAAGTCGTCAATTTTTGCCTGAATTGAGGGAAGACAATAAGTCAAAAAAGAATTGACAATAAACTTGACTTCACATGTGGCAGACACTATCGTGCTTGGATTGGTCTCCTCGGCCACCTTCGAAATCACAGAACGTATTAAGTAACGGCGTCATGGGAGAAGTCGTGGTCATCGGAATTAAAACAAATTTCAATGTTGAATGTTTGGTGATTTTTTCAGTCTTTGCTAACAAAATTGAAACAAACGATCGCGTAGCTAAACAAACCAGACTTAAAATGAAGTTCCATTGCAATTAAAAAGATGAATTGACGATGAATGAAGAAGTTTTGTACTTGTTTAGAGTTTAAACTGTGTGAATTAAAAAACGAATATGAATGATTAACTCGCTTTGTTAATCATTTACCGAGATTTACCGACAACCGACAAAGACCGAAAATAATAATTGATAACCGATATGTGGACTCCCCCATTCAGACCCTCTAATGTAAACCGAACAGTTTAGCTTATTCATCGACCAGTCACTGGTTGAACATTTCAGAGAACGCGAATGTTCTTTAGGTTCATGGTCGGTTTATAATGCGTTTAGCATAAAGATTCAATAGCACGACATCGTGAGTGCTCAAAGGAGAGACCATCCCTCATTCAGCTACGTTTTACGTAATAGATTAAACAAAAAGTAAGAAGCAAACCTGCAAGCACGTCTCTACTTTGCCAAGCTAACGTGTCTTATGTAAATCGAACAGTTTAACTTTTTCATTGACCAGTCAATGGTTGAACATTTGAGAGATCGCGAATGTTCTTTAAGTTCATGGTCCGTGTATGATGCGTTTGGCACGACCGTATGAGTGCTCAAAGAAAAGACCATCTTCATTGAGTTATATTTTACGTAACAGATTAGACAGAAATTAAGAAACAAACCTGCAAGCACGGTCCACGGACTCCGGTAGAAACAGCGACTTTACAAAGCTTAGATTAGTGATTGTGCTAAGAAACTGACAGGAGTTGACATTAGATCAAAAGCGGACGCCGAATTAGATTGGGTGTGTATAGCACAGCGACGTATAATGACGTCAGCTATCTAGCATCCAATCACAATTCTATAATAACAAAGGTCTGTAACTCTGTCGCAACACGTACTGTCAATCAAGCCAAATTATACGAGTAATAAAGTTAATTATATTAACGAGAATTGTTGTGCGTGTTCCGGGTTTTTTGTATTATGCTTGACAATGACTGGCCTGCAAGCAAGCTCTCCTAAGGTGGGGGAGCTTGCTCGCAGGCTAGACAATGCCATTTCTGTTTCACGGTCAGGGACATTAAAGGGCATCCAGTTAATTACCTTGATTTCGGAAGGGTTGTACCAGTCGAATCGAGCCAACTGTATATGACGGAACACTCGGTATGTATGTATGACCGTAAATTATACGACGTTGTGTTAACGCTCAAATGGATTAATGAGAAGTTAATGGGAGTTGTCCGCTCCGATCATAGACGTTTCCTGATGTCTTTCACTGAGAACACGCACAAGACCTGGGAAGGATGAATTGGGGTGAAGGGCGAGAAGTGAGAATAACGGTTAGGGAAGTCCGCCCTGAAGGCTACCGCATAGCGTTACTATCATGTTCATCACAGTATCGAGGCTTTATTAAGAAGACCAATACATACATTTACGATAACTTTGTAACCAAACGCACATGGCTCTTAATGCTCAACCGCATTTCCTCGAAAAAGTCACTGGTTTTCCATTTTTTCCCCAATGTTTTCTCTTCAGCCTCTAAAAACCGTGATTATGCACGAAGGAAGGGCGAAAGATTCGGAGGAGGGGAGCATTACTGTGTTATTCCAGCATGGCACCTCCTTTCACCTTCAAGCTTTTTGATGGAGGCCTTTCAAAAGAGGAACTTGGCGCAAGGAGGTGGTCAAAATACGTGAACCAATGATGATTCAACTTGACTAGAGGTAAGGAGAGCGCTATTAAAGACACCATCCACCTTTTGAGCCTCATAGGCAGATTTTTCGCCGGAAAATTTGAGATAAAACTTTACCTGTTACCCTCTAGTATGCTGTTGCAACATGCATGGAACGTCAGGCAACATTGAAGCCTTAAATTTACTTAGCTCTACTGATAAACAGGAGCATTCCAACCGACATTGATTCTCTTTAGGAAACGAGAAGGGGGAGAGGGCGGAGGGGGTTGGGCTGAAAAAGACACTTCTCTATCTGATGACGCTAATAGAATAAAAACTCTGAATATTAAAAGAGCATAACTGTTTCAGTTACCTCTGAAAATTTGAACCCAATGCACCGAATGGTTTCGGACTCTCCTCTAAAAACTCGACATTTTTCAGAGAACGTATGGCTCATTAACTCATTAAGTGGAATACCAAAATATCTGAAATAAACTTTCCAATATACCCTAAATTATTCTACAACTCGTGTAAAATACCAAAATTAAGAAAAATACTGTATACTTTATACCCAAAATTGGTCGTGAGGGCCGGAATACTTTATACCCAATTTTAAGCATGGAAATACTGTATACCTGAAATTAAATACCCCAATAAACTGTATACCCAAAAACCCTGGCCAACCCTGATCAATGTCTTGGGGAATCAACATGGCGGACGTGGCGTCACTGTGAAAAGGCTCCACAGGTATGAGCCCTTAAAATTTTTAGCAGCAATCGAGAAGTAAGAGTAGCAACAATATAATGTTCCTTCTCCAAAACTTCTCTCGTGTGTCCAAAAAAAAAACAAATCCCAATAATAATCTCAGAGTTGCCCTCACTATTAAGATGTGTGCATGAAAATTATGACGACCGGAAGAAGAGGACGGCAAAAAAGGTGTGTGTGACAAACGTGACAGGGCTATCACTTGCGTGTTTTGTCGTCATCTTCATTTTACACTAATGTTTTAATTCCGGTAGTTTACAAGAAATTAAGACCTGTTCAAAGGAAGGTGGATTTTGGCGGAAGGTTTTTACAAACAAAATTATTGTCACGCCTGTCACAAAACGTCTGCCGTCTTCCTTTCTCTCCCGTCCTTTTGCGTAAGTTCACTGTGAATAACTTGATAGGTGCTATCATCATTACAAAAAGATAATGCATAAACAGAGTAAAAAAATGGATTTCTCTTATACTTACTACTACTACTACTACCACTACCACTACCACTACCACTACCACTACCACTACCACTACCACTACCACCACCACTACCACTACTACGGCAATGTGAAAGCTTCTCGATTTCATTTAGACTACAAGTAGTCCCCATTTTTCCTCAGGTATAGTAGAGCGAGGGAAACTTGAGGGCGTGTGAAATCACCCCACCCGAGAAAGGCGGAACGGCGGGGAGAGAGAAATTTTTCTCTCTCACCGCTGCGTTTCGCCTTTCTCGCATGAGGTGATTTTCACGCGCGCTCGCGTTTCGCTCGCTCTACTATCCCTGAGGGAAAATGGAGACTACCCGTAGTCTAGATTTCATTGAAGCTAACAAACAAAGAAAGAAAAAAAGAAAAAAAGAAATATCTCCCTTCTGCTGCCCAGCATCTGGACAAATTAGGAGAAAGAAAGAAACTGAAAAATACACGTGTAAGGTACTCAAACGTTACAATATTTATAAAAAATGAAATATGGAACAGAACTTTAATCGGCGACAAACTTGTTGAGACATTGTACTCAAATAGGGTAACTTCAGAGAACAAAAGAATCCACACCCCTCCCCTTCCCCTCCATTCAAAGTTGAGGTATTTGTTGTTTTCTACAGGTAGCTGGAACAGCGGCACAACATTGCATGGAGGAAATGGGAGAGGGAAAGGTTCATTTTCCCGGGCCTTTTAAAATCGGTAAAACATCAAAAAGCCGCTTTCGGACAAAGTGTCTCAACTAATTTTGTCGCCTTTTAGTTAACCAGTTTGTTGGAATTAATTGTGCCCTAGATAACGCTGTATACATCAGAGTGGCAACAATGCTGTGTGCATACCATCCACAATTTTGTAAGTACTCTAAATGTTCCAAAAGGGTTTTTTACACATTTTTTTTTCTAATTCCAAGTATATACGTATTTTGATGTTTTAGTATTTTTTTACTTGCATTTGTTGCAGAGGTTTTTATGGCCCTTTTCCCAAGCCAGAACTTGACATTCTTTGCTACAATGTACTTCCTCACAGTTGGCACATCTCTTCAATTTGTCTCCATCTCCCCCAATACAGTTGCCACAGCGACGGAATGGCTCAGGACCATACGTCAAGGTATTAATTTCCCCAAAACCTAGAATAAAGAGCATGACATAATTAATTTATTTTAACTAGTGAAACGGTAATAACCAAAGGTTATGGAGTGTGGGCAAGATCGATCGAAGGTCAAAACGCTTTTAATTTGGTCCAACGCGCTCTGTTCTTTGCGTAAGTTTCACGTCATAGAAGGTCAAAACTAGCCTGCCTACAGCCTCCCGCTCCCCTCCGAAAAAATCGGAGAAGGGGCCTCTTCTGCTATTTTTTCTCAGGGCCTGAGTGGGCGGCTGTACACAGGCTGCAGGTCAAAACACGCGTGATCAGATCGCAAGTGATAGAGGGTCACACGATTGAGTTCTACTCTCTGCATTCCGTTCATGCCAAGTATTCGTAACAGCAACCTGAAGATTACGATTCCGGGCTCCTCTGGTTGCCCGCAATTAATATATCAGGGGTGTTTTTCACCGAGACTGCTGGTATTTATCCGTGAATGTCAATGTGCTTTCTTTTGTTTTACACTCCTCAGCCTTTTCTTTTTTTCTTTTTAGTTCACTTAATTTATTACTTGTAAACTGTTTCATGTGTAATAAAGTTGTTATTGTTGTTTGAAACTGGCTCAAAAAGCCCTTTGCAGACTATGGTCAACGGCTTACTGTGAGTTATTCGGAGAAATGATTTACACAAATTTATAGAGCGCCGTGCGGGAGCCATATTGGTGCCCATCGGGATTGGAACCAACAAGGCGGCAGAAAACTAGCATAAACAGTCTGAGTTTTAATGTCTGTCACTGAGTTTTCAAGGCTTGAATTCATCTTTCAAGGAACTCATAACTCGATTAAAGTAATAATTTTTCTCATGAAATAACTATTGAGATAACAAAATTCAACAAAATAAGACAAACTCACTTTTTTAATCTACGTAACAGTTCTCTCCGTCACGCAAAGGCTTATAAATTCAAGCTTACTCTAACATAAAACGAAAAAATCCTTGAGAAGTGAAAATTTTTATAAATATATATAGTTTTTAGCTGCTCTAAAAATACCTCATCAAAGCAAAAACGCAGGAGGATCGATGATTCTTTAGTTTGAATTTTAATGACTTAATGTGCGTTGACTCTTTTTTTAAAGTAAATTTTGGAGTTTCTGAGTCTCTGTATCTCGTTCAAAATTCTTCCGATAAACACCAAATTCGAGGATTTTGTAAACCTCGGGTTCCTCTTTCTGACTATGTGGGTCTCGTGTGGTTTATCCAATAATAATACCACCTTCCGTGGTTTGATTGAATTAGGGAATGATTTGATAAATCTTGAAAAAGAAAATTGTACTTTTTCTTTGTTATCATAAAAGTAATGTGGTCGGTTGAACGCTGGAGAAAACTAGCCTGTTTCCGGTTTCCCGGAGTCCCAGCAACGATAGCCCAAAAGCGGAAAGGGGTATCTTTTTTTCTGTCCAGTATTGAACGGCTGGAACCGGCCACAAAATTGTAACCAAAAAACTTTATGGGCCAAGCATAGCATGGCGTTTTTTTCCCCCTGGCCTCACGATACGCGGCTTTCGACTAAATACTTCCTTTCCTCTCTCCCTCGCGGGCTAAATTTACCCCTTCCCCTTCCCTTTTAACGCCTGTCACGCTGGCTATAGTTTGAAGATCTCCTTTTAAATGGAAATTTCCGAGATATTAATGGAAACATTTACACTTGATATTGCCATCGGTTTAAACATGACGCATGCTTTCTTTTATGCTGAGAGCGTAAACGCTGCCTTGTGGAACAGAGCGAGGTTGGTTGAAGCTAAGGTTAGGGGGTGTTTACATGATACCGGGGCGCCAGCGTGAGTTCACTCCCGTTCCCTCTCATGGCTCTATATTTGTTTACATGATACACAATGTCATGCCGGCGCGAGTCACTCCGGCGTGAGTTCACCCCGGCTGTTGTATCAGGACGAGAATTTCACACTGGTACGAAATTTGGTAACGGTATCATGTAAACACGAAACGACCACCCATTTCGGTGTGAAATCGGTCTGCCGGTGGACTGGAACGGGTAACGCATACGCAATCTTTGCGATTTTTAACCGCACGGTTATTTTATCAACATGAAGTGTACCTTCAAATAACCGAAACATGAAATGACCCATCATCATGTAAACGCGATACAAAATCAAAAAGTCACCCCGATATGAAACTGGCGTCGGTGCGAGTTTCCCCCCCCGCCCCCCTTTGTTGTTTCTGCGGTTATAAATGCACTCATGAAATCAACCCGACTGCAAAATTTCCAAAGACACCATGGGAAGAGAGTACGGTTCACTAGCGAAGCAAGTATTGACTGAGACAGGAAAGGAGCAATATATACGGCGAAAAATACCAACTTTGCATTTTGAATGCAATTGGAAAAACACCCTCTTTGACAAACGTGTGAGGACAAACATTGGCAGAGCAACTGCCAAGACATACAATGGGATCGTCATTTCAATAGTGTGCGATATCGATAAGTGATTTTAAATGTTTTAAATTAATTACTTTAATGTTTGTTGTCAAATTATAAAAAAAGACACTTCAATATAAAGTTTTTGCTACAAACCAGCTTACAGTATTTTACAGAGATGTACTGAAATACTTTACTTCTAGAGTTTTCTTTTTCGGAAAAAGAAATGCAGGAACCATTGATTTTTTGTCCCTTATATTGTACAATAATTCATTTAAAGGTTAAGAGAAAATTTACCCTTTTGGTTGCTTCTAACTCAGATTTTGTCTCTGCTAATGTAACACTAAACCAACACCCTTGATATTAGCCTGTGCCACAGATGGAACTAACTCGGCTCCGGGATAAGTCCGTCTGCAAAACAGCGGCAATATCCTAGTTCTGCCCCACCCCCCGGTGTGTGTACCAGGATTTGTGTACGTGCAAGGACTGGACTGTTAAAAATGCCATTGTCCATTTGCCAATCATGTGGAAGGGAAACTCAAAATGCCGGTAATTCGTTGAGTGCGTTTTAGCCCAGAACAAGGATGCATTCTAACCAGGGTTAGAATACATCTGCAACACAAGCTACCGTGATATTTAATGTTCAAAATGTTAGGTAACATTACTATTTTAGTATTCTATGTGTTGAGATTGTTGAAAATTTGGAAGACTAATGAAGTTGTCTCCAAGACTGAATTAACTTATGCTATGACATTGTGTCCCTAGAGAGGTGGTGTTATCAGTAGATGTCAATTTTGTATACACTAACGTTTAATTCACTTAATATGTCACCTTATATCGCCTTAAGTCGCACAAGATTTTGAGCAAATTTTCCTAAAGTCGCCCTAAATCGCCCTAAGTCACCTAAGATTAGGGCGACTTAAGGTCCCAGAGTAGGCCTAAGAATTGGCTGTGAAAGCCTGGGAAAGAGAGATGCAACGGTGTCGCTAATACTGTTACCACTTAAATGTAAATAAGTCTGAGAGGAATTTGCTGTGAGTTTCTGGGAAAGTTCCAAAGCACCATCGTCGCCAATACAGTTATAACCCAAATCCAAAGACGTCAGGCAGGAGTTTGCTGCGAGGGCCTGAGAAAGAGAAGAGGCACCGGTGTCACCAATAAAGTTACGGCCCAAATCCAAAGTAGTCAGGGAGGAGTTTACTGTGAGGGCCTGGGAAATAGAAGAAGCACCAACGTCGCCAATAACGTTACCACCCAAATTCAAAGTAGTCAGGGAGGAGTTTGCTGAGAGGGCCTGGGAAAGAGAAGAGGCACCAACGTCGCCAATAACGTTAGTACCCAAATCCAAAGTAGTCAGGGAGGAGTTTGCTTTGAGGGCTTGAGAAAGAGAAGAAGCACCGGCGTCACCAAAACTGTTATAAAGCAAATCTAAACTAGTCAGGGTGGAGTTTCTTGTGAGGGCCTGAGATAGAAAAGAAGCACCGGCTTCGCCAATACTGTTATGCATCAAATCCAAAGAAGTCAGGGAAGAATTTGCTGTGAGGGCCTGAGAAAGAGAAGAAGCACCAGCTTCGCCAATAATGTTATAACCCAATTCCAAAGTAGACAGAGTGGAGTTCACTTTGAGGGCCTGAGAAAGAGAAGATGCGCCGGCGTCACCAATACTGTTACCACTTAACTTCAAAGTAGTTAGGGCGGAGTTTGCGGTGAGGGCCCGAGAAAGAGAAGAAGCACCGGTGTCACCTATACTGTTTCCAATTAACTTCAAAGTAGTCAGGAAGGGGTTTGCTGTGAGGACCCGAGAAAGAGAGGAAGCATCGGCCTCACTAATACTGTTATAACTCAAATCCAAAGAAGTCAGGGAGGAGTTTCCTGCGAGGGCCTGAGAAAGAGAAGAAGCAGCATCGTTACCAATACTGTTATACGTCAAATCCAAGGAAGTCAGTGAGGAATTTGCTGTGAGGGCCCGGAAAAGAGAAGAAGCACCAGCGCCGTCAATTAGGTTACGACTTAAATCCAAAGTGGTCAGTGAGGAGTTTGCCGTGAGGGCAAGAGAAAGAGAAGAAGCACCAGCGCCACTCAAAAAGTTACGACTTAAATTTAAAGTATTTAGGGAGCAGTTTTCTGTGAGAGCCTGCGAGAGAGAAGAAGCACCGGCTTCACCAATACGGTTACCATTTAAATTCAAAGTATTTAGGCAGGAGTTTTCTTTGAGGGCCTGAGAAAGAGACGAAGCACCAGCATCACCTATACTGTTATCACCCAAATCCAAAGTAATCAGGGAGGAGTTTCCTGTGAGGGCTATGGAAATTGCAGCAGCACCAGCAGCGTTTATCCCAGTTAAGTAAAAATCTTTAGTCAGGGACATGTCAAGCTGCTCACCTAAAGTACGAACTAAGCGAGTTTGAAGGTTTTCCTCATCACTTGAGCATTCCAACAAGCACTCACAGGCTAACTTGAAATATGACTTATAGTCTTCGGCTGAGTTGATTTTTTCAGCGATATTAATAAAGAACGATACGGCAGTTTCCTCACTACGTGAGGCTATGATTCCACTCATGAACAAAAAGACTTGTCTCAGTTTATCCAAGTATCTCTTATCATCTGCAAGTGAAGAAAAGTCTCTTTCTTTGTCCATAATCTGAAACGCAAGAAAAAAGCCAGCAAAAAACTCCTGAAAACTCTTGTGTAAAAATGCACAACGCGTGCAAGGCTTGCGCTTGGAGCCACCTTGCTGAAAAGAAAAGAATCCAAAATTGATAGGCTTGACGATTTCGTCCTTTTTTTCAAAGTATAACTCCCCTTTGAGGAGGGATTCGAACGCGAAGTTGCCCAACTGCAAAAGTTGTTTTTTATACACTAAAATCAAATCTTCATCGCTGCTTCCAAGTCCGTTTTTTTTCTCATATCTTCTTAAAACAAAGAAAACCATTTCAACGTACAGCTCAGTTCTGCTTGTTGGAAGGACACCTTCGAAATCCTCGAAAAGACAACATAGTAAAGCTGTATTAAGTGGATTTTTAGTTAACTCGCCTAACGTTTCAAGCGGATCACCAGTGGAATACTCTGGGAGTATCAATCGTTTAATCAGCTCCTCAGCCAAGTGTTCCTTGCCTTTAAAATACTTTCTGATAAAACTTTCGGCATCCTCTTTAGAAAATCCTACAATCTCCCACAGGGTGTCACAGTATGGCCTTACTTTCTTTCCAGCCTCATGACGAGAAGTAACGACAATGTGACAAGCTGCGAGGAGTTTACTCTGAACGAGCGAGTAATACATGTCTAGTTTATGGGAATCTGCTTCATCCAAACCATCAAGTAGTAGGAGAACTTTTGCCTGATTTTCCCGAATGAATCTTAAAAAATCCTCTTTAGCCTGTTTGTCAATATCATCAGGAAGAAGTTGATCGTCAATCGCTTCCCAGATGCCAGATTTGATATCATTACATCGAAGCAAGAGCAGGACTTCAATCGATGGAAAAGACTCGTCCCATTCATCTTGTTCAGTTGCCCAGTCATACGCCAGTTTTTGTGAGTAGGTGGTTTTTCCCATGCCAGGTTCCCCTTCGATCAAAAGAATCCGTGGTTTCTGGCAATCAGGGTGGGGTCTAAAGATAGCGGTCATGTTGGTGATTTCATCATCGGTCAATTTTCCTCTTGTTTTTTCTTTGTTCACGATCTTCAGCCGGGTGAAAATGTCATTCAGGTTGAAATCAAGTTCGTCGCACCATGGAAATGGTACCAGCCGTCCTTCACGACGTTTGTAAAGCTGACGAATCCTTTTTATGATACTTGGAACCCCTAGGAAGTACAAAATACACACTATAAATCGAATCGGTTTGATTTTACTAGTGTCTACGATACGCTTTCTTTTTTTTGTTGTTGTTGTAATGTTGCGAAACGAACGAGTTTAAGATCCATATAGACAAAATTTGAGGGGAGGGGGGAGGTGATATTATTAATGATTTTCAAATCTTCTAAGAGGCAGGCAATATTTAACAATTATTCTTTGAAATCGAGGTGAATAGTGGCAAAATATTTACCGAGCCGCGAAAGCGGCGAGGTAAATATTCCCAAAGCCACTATTCACCGAGATTGAGAAGAATAATTGTTTTAGTATATACACACGAAGTGATCTCAACAAAATCAGAAAGGAAACCATTCAAAAGTAGGATTTGATTGACAGATCAAATCACGCGTAAGTTTAAAAATAGATCTTTGCAGAATTTTCAAACATGGCAATTCACAAGTTTACTCATTTCGCAAACAACAGCGTAATGGCTTCAATGGAATCGCTAAAAGTTTGAACTGTTTCCTTACCTGAGAAAAAAAAAGTAGAGCTGTGTTGTTTTCTGTTGACTCGCCAAGTTTATAGCCAAAAGGGCATGTTGTGTCGTTCTTCGCATGAAGTGCTGACAAAAATGGCGGCTCGGTTGCTCGAGGTAAGAGGTCGTCTTCCTGTATCATTCTTTTTCCTGTTTACTTGAAATGTAGAATTTCTGCAAACATTTCCTTTTAAATTTGTTTGTCATAAATAAACTTCGATTTTTGAGCCAAAATTTTCTTCTTAGAAAACGCTGAGTTCACGAAACGGCTTCTTCTACGCGAATACACGGGAGTTGTAAACAATCCATCGAGCACAAAACTCCTGCTACAGTAAAATGAAAAACGCCGTATTGAATCCTTCCAAGTCTTTTCTTGCCTTAAAAAAAGTCAGCCCTAGGATTTTGTCGACTTTTAAAAGATCGTTCTTTAAAAAAACGGGAAAAACACCGAGCTCACACATTATCCACTCGCTAGGAGGTGAATATTGTTGAATAGTCCGAGATAGCGAACCAATCAGATTGCTTAAATCACCAAGATCACTGAGTGTGTATATACTAAGTTAAGATATCTGACATAACCTAACGGTGGCCTGTTGTTGCCTCTTGTTGTGCTATACGTTGTGCTTAATTTGTTATCACGCTAACAGGGGTTGTGATCGGACCATTATTAGTGGTGATCGTACAATTATTAGGAAGCTTATAAGCAACTACGACGGCGACGGCAGCGAGAACGGCAAAAAAAGCAATAGGTTTAGATTAAAAAAAGTAGGTTGAGTTTGATCGTCTGGGTGAACGTAGTCCTGAATAGGACTGTTGTTGTTGGCAGTGACTGACGTTTCGACAACCTGTGCGGTAGTCATCTTCAGAGTCAAAGTGAGTTGTATCACGTCAGTTGATGGTGTTATACTCTGGTTATTGATCTGATTGGTCAAAGACGTCGCGACGTTATTGGTCGTCTGTCAGTATTCAGGACTACGTTCACCCGGACGATCAAACTCAACCTACTTTTGAAATGACTTCTGGGTTCAAACCTTTCACAGGTTTAGATTAGCAAAACAACAACTTTGCCCGTACTTTACGCCCAGTTTTTGTACATTTCTTTGCCGTCACTGCACGACTACGACCTGAAACTTCCCAGTTTCACGTTTTTCGGAGAACGCGTACGTGGACACAAGACAAAGACTTTCTTTTTCTTTTCTTGAACTACAATACAGTCCTTTGGACTTGAACTCCAGAATAATCTGCCAACATTTGCCGAATTGAACGAGATGGATTAAACGTGATTGAGTTTGAAGCAGCGCGAATTCACTTTTCAAATGACGTTTTCGTTGCCGTCGCCGTCGCCGTCGTTGTTGCTTAAGCTCCCTATTTTGTCTAAAGCTACAGTGAAGCGGGCAGCAAAAACGTGCAACGTGTTTTGCAACATTGCTGCAAAACGAGTTGAAAAGCGATGTTTGCGCGTTTTTCGCGCACGTTCAAACCTGTCTTGCAACAAATCAAGTTGTTGCAAGTTGCGTGAATAGTAACTTCTTCTTACACGGGAGTTACGTCACTTTTGCAAAAACGTTTGCCTTGGACTGACAAAGCGCGCAACATCTACCGATTTTGCTGAAAAACGTAGAACTATACTGTCCACTTTCTGCAACAATATTTCGTAACCTGCAACAATTAACTTGATTTGCTGCAAGACAAGTTTGAGCTCGAATTCGACTCGTTTTGCAGCAGTGTTTGAGAACAACAAGCTGCACGTTTTTTGCTGCCCGTTTCACCTTAACTTAAGATTGCTAGACAGTTTCTTTTTCTTTGTAACTATTAACCGCTACTCAGATTGCGTAAGCTTTATAAAGGTCAAAACTTTACCCCGTGGCACAATTTTAAGCAATCTTTTTTAGCTGTACTGGAGTGCGGACCATTAACTGATGATCATACTTTTTTAAGTGTCACAATTCAATGCATTGTTAGAGATACCTGCAAGATGCTGCTGGGTTGTGGATTCAGTTTGCTGAGATGTGTGGGCAGAAAACATTCCCCTTTTGATTTGTGTTGGGCTCTGGTCATCGTACAAGGCACCTGGTGAAGAAAACCGTTGGTTCAGACGCGCGCCACTTCACATCTGTTTCAGTTAACGTTGTCGTATTTCAAGGCCTCAATCCTACCCCCAAAAAACCGCAAAGTCGATCCTCTGTAATTCGGTCATAACTTCGTGGTTGACAGTAACATAGAATGGGTGGTATAAAACGCCACAAATGGTTACCTAATTGGCTGAGTTTGGCAAAATTTTGTATGGAATTAACAAAATTGCCCATTTACGGTTTAGTCGGAAAGACATTCCTACTGTAACGTTAATTGTAATAGCTGGCCATGAAGACACGACATATAAGATGTTGAGTGGGGCGGATCAGTTTACTACCACATTTTGTTATTTTGGGAAAAAGTGTGGACTGATTTAAAACAGCTCTGTGAGGTGCAGTTGAGGGACTATACGCGTCTCGTGAATTTTGTTTGCTCCTTTCGACTCATTGCATTCTAAAACGAAAGTGAAGCAAAGAGCGGAACAGATAAAGTAGGTCGGGGTTATAAAGAAGAACTTTTTAAAAATTGTTGTTAATATATTACCTGCAATGTGGTGCTCAGCTAGCTTCCGCTTCCTACCGCTCTCAACCTGAGCCCCAAAGGGATCATCCACTAAAACATCCAGGCAAAGACATCATTAGCGTTTTGTGCCGTACTTCCTAGTAAGTACGCAATATTTATAGTACGAAAAGAATGTACAATCTCGTTTTTTTGCCAGAAACATGCACACCGACGATCAACATTTTCTTAAACTTTGTTTAACTCTCAACTGAAGGGCTGTAGTAAAAGCTGAGTGACTGAAAGTTAAGGTAACGACGACAACCCTCACAAAGGCTTCTGTCTAACTCGTAATCTCACGCCGCTTGGCAATGCGGAAAATGGAATATCGGAGACCTTCCTCACTTTTTCACTTCGAGGATTCACGTTTTCTTCCACTGACGGCAAATTTGGCCTGTTACCTCTACGATTTATCATAACCCACTAAACTGACAAGAATTTATACCTGAAAAATGAGGCCAAGAGCGGAAAACACAAGGATCACTTAACATGTGCGAGACAAGAGATGCTGCCATCGCACTAGCACAGGCTTCCCAACTTCCTGGATTCACTTGCTCACCATCCGCAAAATCAGCTATCCCTTTAACAATGAGCCACTCGAGTTGAGTATCAAATGCAGCTGTGAAAACACCTAAAATATGGAAAGTAATTAACCTTCTTTATTTTATTGAAAATTAACAAACACTTTTATGAAGATTTGTTTCTTTTATATGCAGTTGGATGGCGAACTCGAAGGAAACTAACCGGAGATAAGAAAAAACAAAATCTAGAGATGCGAGACCCCAAGGACAGAAAGTAGGATAAGTTATGATTTTCACGCCGTTTGTTTTGCTTTTTGACTGTAACTATTTTCAATAAACATTTTTCATACATGACTTTCTTTATTCCTGTCTTTTAAGGTAATCATGCCCCAACAGAGTTACTCCAACACTCCATATATAAACTACACACAACCACCAATCCCTTGATTTACTCTGACAAAGGGCTCGCGTACGAGATGCCAAGTTTACGATCTTTTTAGGTTGGTAAAACCCGCCAACGTTTGCACGTTGTATGAGCCCTTTCATAGGAGACCCACAGGCGCCAGGAAGACCGCAGATTTCCTCTTCAAGGCAATTCCAGGGATGAAAAGACACCAATAATCATTTCTAAGAGAGTGAAATCGTGCGCATTACTTAGACCTAACCAGTTGGAGTCGCCATAAAAAACAACAATGTTTATTGTTAATACGAATGCTTAAGTGACATACGCTCACCTTCTCCTTCCATCTCTACACCTGTTGCGAGGGAATGACGGTCTAGAAGTTCTTTTCGGCGGCTTTCAGCTCTGATCTGCTCTGGACCACTTAAGAACTCGCCATTGTTATGAACGTTGATGTGGCGATCTTCTCGGTTCGAGTTCTTCAAAGGTGGTTGCCATCCATGAGCGCAATTCTTAATGATGTTAAGAAACCGTCTGCTCACGTAACTGCTAATACCAGCCCACTGTTCTTGGTCGCTTTTAACCACTTTGGATGCATATGTTGTTAGTTTGGCTGATACAATGACATCTCCTAATTTGGTTTTGTTAGGGTTGAGACCACTACATGCCCCAACAGATATCACGGCCTTGGGTCGTAGAATAGGGGCGGCATTCTTAACGGCAATAAGGGAACCACCCGGGCAAGTAGAACCCTTATAACATTTCATTAGTGCTACTTTCACTCGTCCCGGCTGACTGCCGACAACGTCCGCGAAGTAAACGTAACCAAGACCATCAAAATGACATCTAAAGGGATCTTTAAGCTCATTGTAACAAGCTAAGAACTCGCAGTTTTTTACCGTTACAAGTAGAACATCAACGGGTAGATCTGGCTGTTTGAATGTTGTTGTAACATCTTTTATGGATGGAAGACCAACAGCCAGCTGAGGTGGGCCAGCATCGCTGTTATTTGAATTTAAGTTCGTCGCAGCTTCTGACATGTCCGTTTTTCAGCTACATCGCATTGGAGACACTAAAAGGGAAAATAGTTTGAGATCTTATGTTGCACCTTTAACAGCCACACAATCGCCAGTATTTGCAAGATGAGGTTTGCACAAAATGTTTTTTCCCGGGGGGAATTATTCTGCAGAAATAAATTTAAAGATTAATAATTGCAGATACGGTATCTACAATCTAATTTATATCTTTAAAAATTATTTCTGTGTTTTCTGATATATGTAAGAGCACAAAATAGTGCACAGACAATCGGGTCAGCGAGCTGGACTGCAACCATGGCCTTTGAAAATGTACGCAAGGATGTTCATCGGGTGTACGGTGAACTTAATGAAAAGCTACCGCTACCCAGTTTCTTGAATGGCACATAATTCAATGAAATGTGGTATCAAACAGGCTGAAGTAGGGGTATTGTTTTTTATTCCTCACCTTAGTGAGCTCTGTTTGTACAACGCCAGTTACAACACCCTTTTCATCACCTGTACAAGAATTCTTATTTCTGTCTGTTTCTGTTAACTCCACAGTCCACAAGAACGTTTGTCTGCCAAAAAATCAAACTATATGGTAATATTTCAAAAGCAAAAATTTTCGTAACAGATTCTGCTCCACGCTTCATAACTGTATTTTTGCCATTTTCCCCGCAAACAACGCACTTTCCTCGCCTCCCCCAAAATATTAATCCGCCTCCGCCAGTAGCTACCCCTGGCAAAAAAAAAACAGCTCAAGCTGAGACGAGCTGTATTACATGTAAATTTGACATTTCAAACTGACCATTGATTAGGAGAGACTGAAAAATATTTTCTGCGAAAACTGTGCAGGAAAAAAACTAGGCGAAAACGTATGGTAAAATAGATCAAAATAGCGTCATTTAAAAATATCTCGCTCGTTTAAATTTCGATAAAAGCCAACGAATATGAAACTGATGGGAACATGCAGTTCAGGAAGTCTAAATAACTTAATCATTTCAAAAGATGTGAAAGTAATCACGTAATTTGAATGCCACGCGAGCTATTCAAATTACAACACGCGATCAACAAATTTTCCTTTAAATGTGTACTTAAATTAGTGATATTAATTGTATGAGAACAACATCTCTATTGTCGTGCAGTCTACTGATCGCATTTCAGATTTAGGGAAAACGGAATGCGTTCCGAATTCGAAGGGCGCCGTAGAACCTTTTTAACAATGAGTTGCAATGACGTCAGTCTGGGTGTTGTGAAGACCTGAAGCAGACAGGAAGATCTTGAAATAAGTAAAAATCTCGTGATGTATGACTTTTTCGGGATTTAGACATTTTCATTACGACTGTGGATCACAATTTCGAACGTCAGACTAAACGCATAACATAAAAATACAGAACATAGAACCTACGTTAGGTAAAGCCTAATTCACAAGATTAACATTTTTAACTGATTTACGTGTAAACAACCTGAAGATTGTTCGTAAAGTAATTTCAAATCAGCCTTACTTTACCAAGCTAATGAAAATCGAACAACCACCGGCTAAAACTTAAAACGTAATGAATTCTCTCGGTTTATGCAGCGTTCGCGTTAGTTATGAGCATTGGCATTAATTCAATGGCGTAACCGCATGAGTGCGCAAAGGAAAAGACTGCCCTTGTTGATCTTAGTTTTAAGTTATACATTAAACTGAAAGTAAGAACCAAACCTGTGGCGACGACGTTCCACGGATTCTGGTTTTAAAACAGCGACTGCTAAGAAACTGATCGAAGTCGGAACCGGATCAAAAGCGGACGCCGATTTAGATATAAGGTCAATGACGTCAGCTATCTATATATATTTGGAGGGGATTATACTTGGAGGGGCTTATTTTCGGAATTTTACGGTATGTGTGAAAATCCTCCTTATGAATCGGTATATTTCAAAGAGCTATACAACGAGAAAGAATGCTATTGACCTATACAATATACAGAGCGGGGGCAGCTGTAGTGTCAACTATTACTAGTAATAATAATAGGGGTTCTTAGGGACGGACCATTAGAAAAGTGATCGGGAGGGGGGGGACCAAAAAAAAATTCATGCAAGGGAAAATGCCAAGAAAAAAAATTCATGCAAAGAAGAAGGTAAAGAAAAAAAGTTCAAGCAAACCTGTTCATGCAAACCTGTTCATGCAATTGTGACTTTTTCAGAAAGTCTGAGTTTCTTTCAGAAAGTCTGAGTTTCAGAAATCAACAATATTACCAGGTACAATATGAATAAACAAAAATCACTTTCTTCTTATTGAAAGGACACAATTAGAATCTTGTTTTTGTTTTAAATTGCAGCTAGTGTACCTACAACATACACTCTATACTGTATTATAATAAAAATAATAAAATAAAATTTGTAATCAATAAATACATGTATTAGAATTTGGTAGCTTTGTAAATATTCTATAGAATTATTTGTGCCCACAATAAAAATTAGAGGATGGGTCTTACCGCCTTGAATAAGAATTCTATAATACAATGAAAAATGCATTCACACGTAGTAGTAAGTGTTAAAACTTTAACTGTCAACGACATAGACAGCAACACTGCCACCGATACTTTTAACAAAAATTAAGAACCACAAAGTATGGTTTTCATTGGTGAATGGAGTATGGCATCATTATGATGGGCTGTGGGAGAGGAATTCCAGAGGGCAGGGACTGAAAAAATGCACAGGGAAGCCGTCCACTCCAAGTGGCTTCCTCCTCTCTCACTGTGTGTACATTTTCGAAAAGATTTTCATTAAAGTGGCCTGTATCCTTTGATCTGTTGTGAGTGTAGAATAATTTATAAAGCACAAAAACATAGATAATGAATCAAGATTTCACTGTTCAAAAAAGCAATATTTGTCTGAAAAAAAAATTCGTGCAGAGGGGTTCATCTGAAAAAAAAAAAATCCTGCACAAGCCGTGAGCGAAAAAAAAAAATTCGTGCAAGCTGGAAATTCCCCACCTACCCCCCCCCCATCACTTTTCTAATGGCCCGTCCCTTATCACGTATTTCGCGTACGCCTCAATGTGTTTACAAATGTCTAAAATGTTACTAATTTAAATGGTACTAATATTACATATACATGAAATTATCTACATTTCTCTGAAATTAATAATTCCGAGCGAATCTAGAAGAAAAGCGCCTGGCCGCGAGGTTTATAATCCCGTCACGCGCGAAGCGCTCGTGTTTCGCACGAGCATCGCAACGCCCGCGTGATTTTCTCTTTGCTATAAATCTGTTGAGTTTGGTTTGTATCCGCCTAGACTTTTATGTTTTCTGTGGCAAAAGCGAGCGAGAGAGCGGGAGCTCGACTTGTTTCCCCTGCAAAAAAAAGCATTAAGACCCTGTTTACATGGAGTGGGGGACCCCGGTCTAGTGGGGTTGGTTTCTTTTGTTTTCACGGTCTGGGGGACACAAAACAAAATAAACTTACCCCTCTAGACCGGGGTCCCCCACTCCATGCATGTAAACAGGTCCTAAGTGACTCATTTTGGCGCGAACTATTTGTGTCCCTGTCGCCTGTGTCGACGCGTGAATGTGTCGTCGCGAACTGACAAAGCACGTCAAAACAAATCCGAACTATTAATCGCAGACGGGACAACTTTTTGGATTTTGACCAGTTTAGCGTTAGATTCAAGAGAGGTGACTATAGAAAATATGTTTGGCATGCAAATTCGTCATGTTGTCGCGTATAAAACTAGTCATTTTGCTCGTGCATTCAGTTATGCACCTATCAATGGTATGCCGGCGCGGGGGGAGGGGGGGAGGAGGGGAGGCGGGGCATGGGGTGGGGTTTGATTGTCTTTGTTGGCCCTGGGGTAGGGCACTTGACTGATCTTGTTCTCCCAGGGAAGGGGATATTTGAATCTTTCTTCGCCCGACGCGGAGATATTTGACTGCCGACTCTGACGAAAAAGACTGAGACCATTCTCGTCCCCAGAGCCCGTCGTTTCTCGGTCACGTGGTCGGGAAACGGTTACAAATTAAGTCGAGTATGCTCTGGGGACGAGAATGGACTGAGACCGAACATATGTTTCCCACTTCCACGCTTCACGCATGCGCCGTACGGTCTGGAAAGATGGAAATTATGGAGGCCAACGAGAACAAGCGGAAGCTGGGTGGATTTCACTGTTTTGCCTCCAAATTTTGTTTGTTTTAGCGTGTTTTTGATCAATTGAACCTGTTCAAGGGGATACTGTGGTATCAAAGTAAACGGAAGTAAAGAGCAACCAAGTCGAATTTTGCAAGTACAATTGATCAGTGCAGTGTATGGCTCATTCGCTACAATCACTATAAGCTTATAAAAATGACGTTCTTTGTACCCTTTACTAAGAACAGTATATTTAAACTTACAAAATGTGGAATTTCTCCTAAAGGTTTCTGTATTCTACGCAGTGTAACACGGATTATATGGTTCAAACGTATAATCGCAGCTGTAACAGGAATATGTATCTTTGGTGATGCAGCAACGTAATATAAATAAAGATTTCAGAGTTCTATTTAGAGATATTTTTATTGTGCCTTTCTTAGGTCCAGCCTTGGGATATTTGAGAGCGCAATGTGCAGCCCGGGGTGGGGAAATTTGGTTGCATTTGACTGGAATGATTTGCCCGTGGGCAGGGAATTTGACTGCAAATTCTTGAAAAATGTCAAATCCCCACCCCATGCCCTGCCTCCCCCCCCCCATTTCCGCCCGCTTTACATTGACAGGTGTATTAGTTTTTTGCCCTATAAAAAACTACGGTCCCCTAAAAGTAGCGACAGCCGGCAATAAAGCCTCGATCGCTTGTTGTTGATCACTCCGAACATCTTTGTAGTTCGCTTTCCTTAACCCATACACGATCGCGTCCTTAATAGAACGCATTTGCACTCGGCTTTGTATTTGAATACAGGCGATGAAACGAAATCGTAATACAGCCCGCCAAAAAATACACATCTCAATTTGGAACAAAACAGTTCGAGTCACGTTTCATGCGGCGTGATCGGGTTTGATCGACGGCGCATCAG